TTATGTTCACTTCCCTGCCCAATTCATATGTTGAAGTTCTGACTCTTAGTACCTCAGAATGTGACTGCATTTGGAGACAGGGACTTTAAAGAGGTGATTAAATTAAATGAGACTGTTAGAGTGGGTCATAATCCAATCTGACTGGTTTTCTATATAATGAAGAAATGTGGACACAAAAGGAGATACCAGGGATGCCCATGCACAGAGGAAAGACCATGTGAGGGCACAGGGAAAAGGCAGCCCCATCTGCAAGCCAAGGAAAGAAGCCTCAGAATTAAACCAAACCTGCCAACATCTTGACCTTTGATTTCCAGTCTCCAGGACTGTAAGACAATAAATTTCTGTTGTTTAAGCTCCCCAGTCCAGGGTACTTTGTTATGGTAGTCCTAGCAAACGAATGCAACTCCCCACCTTGCATGGCCCTGGCCTTTGACTTCTTTATTGCACACCCCAGGGGAATGTGAAAATTGTAGCTCACATGGGCCAGATTTGGCATATGCCCTCAAAGAAAGGAGACTTCAGTGTTCCTTTTCCTTTCTGAGATTCTACATTCTCTTTGACTTTAGCCCAACAATTCCTTACTATCTTTTGTCAGCTCTTCAGTGGTTTTAAGAAGTTTTGTTTTAAAATAGTATCCAGGATTTTTAGTTGTTTTCTGTAAGACAGTCTATCCAAATACCTCTCTCCACAGACCAGCTTTGTGGGAACTGCAACTCCTTCGTGGTGAGGAGTTAATGTAAAGACATCCACAGTCCCAGTACTGGGAAGACTTCAAGAAGGAAAGAGGAAGGGAAGAGGAAGGAGAGGAGAGAAAGGAAGAGAAGGAGACAAGTGGAGAAAGAAGGAGGGGAGAAAGTGGAAAAGAGGGAGAAGGAGAGAGAGGGAGACAGAGTTGGGGGTGGTGGAGAGAAAAGAGAAAAGTCAAGAAATAGCAGATCAAACATGAGATATGAATAACAGAGAAAAGCAAAGGACAACTTCAAAACTTCAAGCCTAGGAGAAGAAAGAACAGTGGTTTCCATCAAGAAGTCTAGAAGAAAAGTGAATTTTCAGAGAAAATGACCACGAGTACTGTTTAGAGTGATAGTAAGACATCAAAGGGTAAGACAGGAATAACATTTTTAGTTAAATGAGAGCTACTGTATAGTAAGTATAAATCTTAGTGCACAAACTTATAGAACAAAATATATAATTTTATTTTTCCATAACTCCATTTAATTTTTATTATTTCCAGACCAGGGGATCTTCCTGTAGTCCAGAGGTAGAGTAGCCTGGTAATTAATCATCAGTTGATCTCCCAGATCTATAGTCCATCCCCTGGGGGTTTTCTTTTTTTTTTTTTTTAAGATTTTATTTATTTATTTATTTATTTATTTGAGAGAGAGAACACAAGCAGGGGGAGTGGCAGGCAGAGGGAGAAGCAGATTCCCCATTGAGCAGTGAACCCCATGTGGGGCTCCATCTCAGACCCTGAGATCATGACCTGAGCCGAAGGCAGCCACTTAGCCGACTGAGCCACCCAAGCGCCCCTTATTTTTGCTTTTATTTACCACCCTGAGGCCTAGGTTTTAAAATTCAGAAGCCAAGCATTGATTCCTTTCCTTTTCCTGCTTCCTACTTTGTGTCGGCATTAATTAGGAATGGTTTTGGCTGTCTATAGCAAAAAACTTGAATACCAGTGGCTTGAGTACTAGGGAGTTGTAGGCTGGTACTGGTTTGGTGGAGACAGGGCTGATAACCCTTGGCCTTTTCCTCATACTCGCAAGATAGCTTTTGCTGCTCCAGACATCACATCTATGTTTGAGGCAGGAGGAAAGGCAAAGGCAAAGCAAAAACTTTCCCAGAAACCCCGAGCAGATATTGTTGTTTTTCTCATTGGCCATGATTATTTTATAGGGCATAATTGCAGAAAATGACTTTTCATCCAAAAGTCCCTGACCTTCATGATGATGGGACCTGAGTATATGTCCCAAATTAGATTCCACAACGTAAGAACTCCCTCTTATAGGGACGCCTGGGTGGCTTAGTCGGTTAAGCGTCTGCCTTCGGCTCAGGTCATGACCCCAGGGTCCTGGGATCGAGTCCTACATTGGGCTCCCTGCTCAGCGGGAAGCCTGCTTCTCCCTCTGACCCTCCCCCCTCTCATGTGCTCTCTCTCATTCTCTCTCTCTCAAATAAATAAAATCTTTAAAAAAATAGAATGCCTTTAAAAAAAGAAAAGAACTCCCTCTTATAAAGCAGCTCAGTGCTGTGTTCATGATACTATTTGTGGTGGTTTAAAAAAATATCTAAAAATTCTTCGACATGCCTCCCTTCAAAAAATGGCGACTAATCACTCTCCTCTTTAGTGTGGGCCAGATTTAATGACTTGCTTCTAATGAAAAGAACATGACAGAAGCGGTAGCATGAGACTTCTGAGCCACAGTCATGAAAGGCACTGTACCTTGCTCCACCTTGCTCCCTCTTGGATCACTTGCTTGGTGGAAACCAGCTGCCATGTCATGAGAACACCCAAGCAGCTCTGTGGAGAGACTTACTCAGCAAAGAACTGAGGCCTCCTGCCAATAGCCAGCACTGACTGACCTGCAAGGCTCAGTCAAGGCTTTATTATTTCAGTTGAGCCTTTATTATTACTTTTTAAGATTTTATTCATTTATTTGAGAGAGAGAGAGAGAGAGACAAAGATAGCAAGAGAGAGCACGAGCTGGGAGGAGAGAGAGAAGCAGGCTTCCCCCACTGAGCAGGAATTCTGATGCGGGTCTCCATCCCAGGCCCCTGGGATCATGACCTGAGCCAAAGGCAGACGCTTAACCAACTGACCCACCCAGGTGCCCCTCAGTCAAGTCTTTAGATGACTGAAGTCCCAACTGCCATCTTGACTATATAACCTGATGAGAGCCCTAGGCAGAACCACCCAGCTAAGCCACTCCAGAATTTCTGACCCACAGAAACTATGTGAGATAATAAATGTTTACTGTCATTTTAAGTCACTATGTTTCAGGTAGTTTGTTACATAGCAATCGATAACTAATACATTGCCTCTGGGCTCCTCAGATTCTTAGGTAAGCCTGGATCCAAGGTGATTTACTCCCCTGCAACCATTTGAATGATACCTCTTTGTTATCCCCTGAATAGCCTTCCCACTGGAATTTTGGTTCCATTCATTGCACTCCCCAAAGATGTGTCCTTCTTCCGAGCTGGGTGAGTCCTCTGATGGGCCTCGTACCCCTAGACAGAAGAGTGGGGCCATTGATTCAGTTCAAAGGTAACAGAAGCCTGATCTTTCAGCCATGCTATTTGCCTTCTTCCTTCTCACACTGCATCGGCCAGTCTCAGGGCCTAGGCTATCTACCTAAGAGCGAAGATGTGTACTAACCAAACTGGGTATGTGGAGACTCTCTGGTTATTTTCCGGCTTCTGAGAGAGTGTCTTCCCCAAGGCCTGACTTAGTTTCTGCATTAATAGCTGTTTGGGAATTTAGGAATTGTCCATTTTAACCACTAAGTAGTAGAGAGGCAGAAAGAGAGAGAGAGAGAGGTGCTTGCACTTCCCTAAACTTATAGCAGCAATCCTAAGGTCCTAAATAATTTCTCATAATTCCACCCCTGGGTGCTGGGAGCTAGACAGTGCTGTAGAGACTAGCTTCATCCTCCAAAACTCAGTTTCTCCCCACATATCCAGGCCACCATTTTTATAGCAGATTAAGAGGTGTGCCAGATTGGGAAAGGTTTTTTGGGCTTCTCTACTCTGGCAGCTGGGGTAGGTGCCATTGAAATTTCCCTTCTTTTCCTGAAAAGAGGCTCGATATTTTAGAAATTCACCCTGACGCAAGGGTATTATAGAGGCTGTATTAGATTCCTGGAGCTGCTGTAACAAAATGCCACAAGCCGGGTGGCTTTACACAACAGAAATTTATTCTCTCACAGTTCTGGAGGCTTAGAAGTCCAAAATCAGGGTGTCAGCAAGATCACACTTTCTTGAAGGTTCTAGGGAAGAATGTATTCCATGCCTTATTTTAGATTTTAGTGTTACCGCCAGTCATTGGCATTTCTTGGCTTACAGCTATATAACTCCAATCTCTACCGCTGTCGTTACATGGCATTCTTCCTGTGTGTCTTTGTGTGTTCACATGGCCTTCTTCTTTTTTTTTTTTTTTAAGATTTTATTTATTTATTTGAGAGAGAGAGCACATGAGAGGGGGGAGGGTCAGAGGGAGAAGCAGACTCCCTGCCGAGCAGGGAGCCCGATGCGGGACTCGATCCCAGGACTCCAGGATCATGACCTGAGCTGAAGGCAGTTGCTTAACCAACTGAGCCACCCAGGTGCCCTGGCCTTCTTCTTATAAGGACATCAATCATATTAGATTAGGGGTCCACCATAATCCAGTCTGACCTCATATTAACCAATTACAACTGCAATGACCTTATTTCCACATAAGGTCACATTCTCAGGGACTGGGGGGTTAGGACTTGAACATATCCTTTTTTAGGGGAGACACAGTTCAATCCATAACAATGACCTTACTTATCTTTGATTTAGGAAATTTATTTATTTATTTATTAAAGATTTTATTTATTTTTTGACTGAGAGAGACACACGAGAGAGGGAACACAAGCAGGGGGAGTAGGAGAGGGAGAAGGAGGCTTCCCACTGAGCAGGGAGCCCAATGCGGGGCTCGATCCCAAGACCCTGGGATCATGACCTGAGCCGAAGGCAGACGCTTAACGACTGAGCCACCCAGGCACCCCTGATTTAGGAAATTTAATCATGAAGGCAAATTCTAACATGGTAGCCTTCACCGTCCCTTATCAATCATTCTGTGTCTGTCTAGGGAATCTCATCATTCTCTAGGACTCTTTCATGCTCCTTCTCATCACTCTCCACTGGTATTTCTGAATCGGCAAAGGCTGCTGAGGGGTTGCATCAGCTCTACACACCAAATTTCCAACCAGATCACAGCCTTTGTCTCAGGATGACTTGGCTCTAATCCTGGTCTAGGGTTAGTATTCAGTCTTCGAGCAGATATAGGCTACCCCAGAATTCTAAGACATCCTGGATGAGCCCCACAAATAGCCAATACTGATCATGAACCAGAAAGAGTTGTATACTAGCATTACTCCTCTATAATTCAATTTAGTTTCTGCTGGGAGTTCCTGTCTTCTGGGGTGGCAAAATTTAGTTGCACTTAAGTTACTAAGTTTATTTCTTCATGCTTTACCTAAACTGTGTCTAAGCTCTATGGGGTCTTGCATTAGGCCCCCAGGGGGATGCATGTGGTCCTTGCTTGTCATCTCTTCACACCAGCATCTCTGAGATATTGGCACAGCCTTGTTTAGTGTTCCCCCAGACACCATGGGGTTCTCCCTTGTTCCCATCTGCAGGATTTCTTTGGGTCCAAAGACCATCTGGGCTACATGTCTGCATCACCTTTGAGCACACGGGAAATGTTTTCCTGCTCCCATCCCGCAAATGGAGCAAGGGAAGCACTAAGGTTGTCTCTTCTGTTTCCATGTTGTTTTGAAACATATTTCTGAGACATGTAGGGGTCTGGGGCAAAGGGTCTCTCTCTCTAAGGACACATATTACCTGCACTTGTAATACTTCTCCTTCTCCCCCTCTACCAGCCCAGAGATTCCTTATTTGGTCCTAGAACAGGGAATCCTATCTTACTCATGTGGGGGGTGGGGGGATTTAGTCCCCTTTATCCTCTTAGTTCTTGTACTAGGACCATGTAAATTAAACTGACAAAAAACAGATTAATGAGAGGGGGAAAAGTTTATTTACATATGCAACACACATACATGCTAGAGAACTTAGTGATGAGTAACTCATATGAGGGCTTAGAATTTACGGCTTATATACCGTCTTAATAGGTAAAGAGGAGTGGGAAGAGAGGCACTTACACGAAGTTAAATGACTTTTTAGAAAGATAAAAAATGGGGCTCCTGGGTGGCTCAGTCGGTTAAATGTCTGCCTTCAGCTCAGGTCATGATCCCGGGGTCTTGGGCTCAAGCCTCGCATCGGGCTCCCTTCTTAGCAGGGAGTCTGCTTCTCCCTCTCCCACTGCCCCTCTTTTTCTTTCTCTTTCTCTCTCTCAAATAAATAAATAATCTTTTAAAAAATAAGTAATTAAAAAAAAGGAAAGATAAAAAATGTTTGGGTTTGGGGCACCTGGGTGACTTAGTTGGTTAAGCATCTGCCTTCAGCTCAGGTCATGATCTCAAGGTTCTGGGATTGAGCCCCACATCAGGCTCCCTGCTCAGTGGGGAGTCTGCTTCTCCTTCCACCACTCCCCCTCCTTGTGCTCTGTCTCCCCCTCTCTCTCTCTCTCAAATAAATAAAATCTTTAAAAAAAAGATGTTTGGTTTCCAGGGGAACAAATAGGAAATAAGAAAGTTGCAATAATGCTTGTCTATACCGTTATGAGTGGTCTTTCTGTTTCTTTCAGGGCCATAAAATTTCCCTGGAAAAGGAATTTAGGGTAGGTTTTGTTCTTATTCTCCCTTTTGGGAGTAAATCTTCCCTGAAGAGGTATTTACGGCGGCCTTATTTCCTAGGTGTTGTTGCTTTTAGTCACATAAGCTCTGAGAAGGCTATTTTTCTGCAATTGTTGAATCTCAAATGTCTTTACCTTAAAATAATCTTTATACTAAGTGGCATATTTTGGGGTGGCATATTGTGATCTCCCTCACTCAGCATTAGGTATTCTTACAAATTTATTGTTCTTGTGTTGAGTTCTCTCTGGGGGCTAGATTTTGAGACTCAAAAGCCTAAAACTAACTTCTTTTTCCTCTGTTATTTCCTAGGTGAACTTTTCCTGAAGAAATGAATGTCAAGTGGTGCCTAGGTGGTTCAGTCGTTAGGCGTCTGCCTTCGGCTCCAGTCATGATCCCAGGGTCCTGGGATCAAGCCCCGCATCGGGCTCCCTGCTCAGCGGGAAGCCTGCTTCTCCCTCTCCCACTCCCCCTACTTGTGTTCCCTCTCTCGCTATGTCTCTCTCCGTCAAATAAATAAATAAAATCTTAAAAAAAAAAAAAAGAAATGAATGTCAAATAGCCTCGATGACTACATGTGACCAAATAATGCAAGGACAGAATAAAATATTGGTTCCTATCTCAAAAACTGACCCTGCCATACATATGCGGTATCACTGCACCTTCTCAGCCATTCTGTGAGGGTTTATTGTCTGTTTCACAGTTGAGGAAATACTCCGAGAAGTTAGGGCTTCACAGCTAGAAGGTAAATTTGAATCCACATCTATCTGATTCTAGAACTCTATTCTTGTCACTTCACCATAAACTATGTATCGACATTCGGAAGTGTAACCTGAAGGCTCCAGGCCTTATCAGCCGGGGGGGGGGGGGGGCGGGTGTGTGTGTGTGTGTGCAAATGGGGTTACATTAGCACTTACCCAGGTCAGTTGCTCACACAGGATCTCAGCCCCTTCACAATGTCTCCCGAGGAGATTCTCGTAGATGTACGAGAACAAGTATGAAGTATGGCAGCTCTCTTGGCTCCTCTCCGTGGCCCGGAGAACTTACACGGAACTGACGCTCCCACTGCCTGCTGTACCAGGAATAACGACCCAGCAGTCTCGGGGCTTCCGCCAGCAGCCGTGAGACAGTCATAGGCTCACTTCTGAGCTTGCAAGTAGGGTCAGATCACACCGCAGACCGGCCGCCGGGCACAGGCTGGTGGCCAGGTGCGACGTGGTGGCAGCCACACGGAGCAGCTGGGAGCCCAGGCTGAACCGGTTGCTGCCACAGTGGCTGGAATAAGAGGCAGGTAAAGCCAAGGGAATCCAAAGAGATGATGACATGTCCCTACTACGTTTCTCTCTCCCCAGATCTTGGGCAGCCGCCCTCCCTGCTCACTCTCAACTGAGAACCTGAAAACTGGAGCCATCAGGCAAGAACTCCATTGACCTGGAGCCACTCCGCGCACAGATATGGCCGTGTTGCTTGACTCGTCCTGTCCCCTCCCACGACAGAAAAGCCAGCTCTCCTCCTGCTCAAGATCTATCCCTTCTTTTGCCTTTGTGTGGAGAGCACAACGTTCCTTCTCAACGGGACCCTCTCCACTGGCACTTCAATGTGCCCACGTGCGCTCCCCTTCCCACCAGAGCTACACACTAATCGCTCCCCACCTCCTCTCAGAACGAAACCTCCCTACATTGTTGTCCACACAACCACCTCCGTTTTTCTCCCCTCCTACTCACTTCAGAACCACTCCATTTGGAATTCTGCTCACATTGCACCCAGTCTGCTGTTACTGGGGTCATCTAAGACCTCAAAGTTGCTAATTCCTATAGATGTTTATCAGTTTTTGTCTCAACTGAATTTTCAGTAGAATTCGGCATTTGCTTACTCCTCCTTCTTTTTTTTTTTTATTAAAGATTTTATTTATTTATTTGAGAGAGAGAGAATGAGAGACAGAAAGCAGGAGAGGGAGGAGGGTCAGAGGGAGAAGCAGACTCCCCGCCGAGCAGGGAGCCCGATGCGGGGCTCGATGCGGGGCTCGATGCGGGGCTCGATGCAGGGACTCCAGGATCATGACCTGAGCCGAAGGCAGTCGCTTAACCAACTGAGCCACCCAGGCGCCCCTGCTTACTCCTCCTTCTTAGAACAGTCTCACTCTTAGCCTCCGAGGTACCACACCTGCTGATTTTCCTCCTATCTCTCTGGCCCTCCTGCCCTCTCTCTCCTCTGAGGTGTGTTCTTCCCTGGTAGCCATTCACTGTGTCCTCAGGCCTGCCCAGGCCCATCCCTGTTTTCCTTTGTACCGCAGGAAATCTTATCATCGCCGCAGCTTTAAGCACCAGAAATAAATGTGACATACACATTCCAGGTGTTATAAAAATATATTAAATCCTTTTATTTATTTTATATAATTTATATTTAGCAAGGCAGCACATTTTGGGCCTCCTGGGTGGCTTGGGTGGCTAAGCCTGTTGAGCATCTGACTCTTGATCTCAGCTCAGGTCCTGATCTCAGGGTTGTGAGTTCAAACCCCACACTGTGTTCTGTGCTGAGTGTGGAGCCTACTTAAGACACACACACACACACACACACACACAAACCAAAAAAAACAAGGCAGCACATTTGACTTGAAAGAACTGGGTTTTAGACTCCGATCTGGATATAAATTCTGACTTTCCACTTACCGTCAGAATCCCCTTGGGAAGCGTCAACCGCCTGGGTCTCAGGTTCTTCCTCTATAAAATGGGGCATACCATCCCCCTTACTAGGTGTCTATAACTGCACACAATCCCTTCCTTTTTTTTCCTTTGAAATTGAATCTTCACTTATTCCCTTTCTGAACAGAAGAGAGTCAAAAGACCAGTCTGAAGAGTCAAGCAGTCCTCCGTTCAAATCCTTACTCTGCCTCATTCTTTCTGACCTTGGGCAAATTACTCAATCTCTGTAAGTTTCCTTCATCTGTAAAATGGGCATAATAATAGTATCTACCTCACAGACTTGTTGAAAGGATTAGATGAGATGTTAAGCATGTAGCACAGTACCTAGCTCACAGCTGATTTTCAAAAAATGTTAACTCAGAGATATTATCTCATATGTTTAGGCAGTCATATTTCAGTTTTGAGTACCTGAAACTCTAGAATTGTCCCCAAACAAGATGTAATTTAGAAGTGATAAATGAAATTGAATAGCTCGAGGAAGTTGGCACACGTTTTACCAAGGATAATAATAGAATAAGTTAGACTCCTGGGTATGACTCAGAGGAGTATCATAATCCAAAACTCAAACATTTGAGGCCTGTAATTGGGACTTTTTTTTTTTTTACATATGATCATTTAATTTTTAAATTTTATTTATTTATTTTAAGTAAGCTCTATGCCCAGTGTGAGGCTCAAACCCATGGCCCCTAGATCAAGAGTCAAATGCTCTACCAACTGAGCCAGCAAGCCACCCCAATAAGCTATCTTTTTTATAGTGAGGGTGGAGGAAGCTAATAGCTTCTGAATTTAACATTTTTACCTTTATAACCCAAAGTATGTGCGATTAGTAGTGCTGTCCTTGACTAATGTCCAAGTTATAATAAAGACCAATACGCCCTAAGATCACATGATGTCTCTCTTCCTTGAAACTGCTCCTGCATCCCTCCTCACCCAGAGCCCCAGTACCATAGGGGGCATAAATGGGAAAGGGGTTTTGAAAAGCAAAGACAATTCTGGAGAGAGTGACTTGAGGGGGAGAATGGATGCTGGCATCATCCCAGGCAAAGTCTCTCTTCAACAGCATTTCCAGAAAAGCTCTGAATTTTTTTTTTCTTTAAGTAGGCTCCGTGCCCAGCATGGAGGCCAAGGTGGGGCTTGACCTCACATCCCTGATATCAAAATCTGAGTTGAGAGCAAGAGTAGGACGCTTAACTGGCTGAGACACCCAGGCACCCTTACTCTAAATTTTAATTTGCCTTTAAATACCTGAAAATTGGGGCGCCTGGGTGGCTCAGTCATTAAGCGTCTGCCTTTGGCTCAGGTCATGATCCCAGCGTCCTGGGATCGAGCCCTGCATCAGGCTCCCTGCTCTGCAGGGAGCCTGCTTGTCCCTCTCCCCCTCCCCCTGCTTGTGTTCTCTCTCTCAATGGGTCTCTCTGTCAAATAAATAAATAAATAAATAAATAAATAAATAAATAAATAAATACCTGAAAATTCGTCATTGATATGAATAAAAAATATTTTGGAAACAATAAGTAGTCACATAATTGTACAGGTGAATAGGGGCGCCTGGGTGGCTCAGTCAGTTAAGCATCCGACTCTTGGTATGGCTCAAGTTGTGATCTCAGGGTCGTGAGATGGGCTCCTAGTAGGGCTCTGAGGGAGTCGGCTTGAGATTCTCTCCCTTTGCCCCTCCCCTACTCACGCGAGCGCTCTCTCTCTCTCCCCATCTCTAAAATAAGTAAATCTTTTTTTTTTAAAGATTTTATTTATTTATTTGAGAGAGAGAATGAGATAGAGAGAGCATGAGAGGGGGGAGGGTCAGAGGGAGAAGCAGACTCCCTGCTGAGCAGGGAGCCCGATGCGGGACTCGATCCCAGGACTCCAGGATCATGACCTGAGCCGAAGGCAGTCGCTTAACCAACTGAGCCACCCAGGCGCCCCTAAAATAAGTAAATCTTAAAAAAAAAAATAGTACATGTGAATAGGTGCCCTCTCCTCCTCACTACTGGTTAAAAATAGCTAAAATGAGGGATGGCAGAGAGAGAAGAAATAGATGACAGTCTCCAAATGTAAAATGAAACTGTCATTTATTAAGATCTGCAGACAGGATGGAGAAACAGGTGAGGTTCAGTTCTCTTAATTATTACCTTAAAATTACAAGCTTAAAAAAAAAGTCCTTTATTAAGAACAAATAAGTGGAATGAGTATAGTAACTTCAGGAAGTCATAAAGATTTTATTTTCCTGGGACACCTGGGTGGCTCAGTCAGTTAAGCATTTGCCTTCGGCTCAGGTCATAATCCAAGGGTCCTGGGATAGAGTCCTGCATTGGGCTCCCTGCTCAGCAGGGAGCCTGCTTCTCCCTCTCCCTCTGCCTGCCACTCCCCCTGCTTGTGCTCTCTCTCTCTCTCCGACAAATAAATAAAATCTTTCCAAAAAAAGATTTTTTTTCCTCCCTGTTAACTATTTTCCTCTGTGGTTCAGGGATCTCTTGAGACACAGGGGAGCATGTAGGCAGGGGTGTCTTGTGATATGGGAATTATGCTAAGGGTCATTGAGTGACCCATAGGAACCAACAGGCATGGGTTACAGATTTCATGGACTATTTTTTTTTTACTTGAGATATTAATTAATTAATTAAAATTGAGATATAGGAACGCCTGGGTGGCTCAGTTAGGCATCTGCCTTCAGCTCAGGTCGTGGTCCGGGGTCCTGGGATGGAGCTCCACATCTGGCTCCTTGCTCAGCGGGGAGCCTGCTTCTCCCTCTCTCTCTGCCCCTCCCCCCTGCTCATGCTGTCTTTCTCTCTCTCTCAAATAAATTTTAAAAAATAAAAATAGGGGCACATGGGTGGCTCAGTCGGTTGAGCATCTTCCTTCAGCTCAGGTCATGATCTCAGGGTCCTGGGATGGAGTTCCATGTCGGGCTCTCTGCTCAGTAGGGAGTCTGCCTCTCCCTCTCTCTCTGATCCTCCTCTGCTTGTGCTCTCTATGTCTGTCTGTCTCAATAAATAAAATCTTAAAAAATATGAAAATAAACATAATAAAATAAAGATGTAATTTACATGCAATAAAATACATACATTTTAAGTGCACTGTTCAATGAGTTTGCAAGATATGGAACATTTCCATGATTTTCAGTAGCTGGTATGCTTCCTAGTCTAGTTAACAGTACCACTCAGGGACCTGGCAAGAGATAGATGGCTCAGTTAAAACTAGATAATTTGAGAAGAGGGATTATTTATAAAGGCGTGGGCATGGTGTGGGGAAAGCACAAGATGGTTCCTTGTAGCAATGCCAGAGAGCTGTTACCACTCCTAGATCAGAAGGGTGGAGAGGAGGAAGCAGTTACCAGACCCAGGAAAGAGAGGCTGTGTGGTGAGCACTTCCTTACAGGAGCTATGACTCAGGTGAGGGGTGCAGCCAGCCAGACCAGCGTGATCCTGGGGAGGGGTGAGGGAGATAACTATTCCAATCATACCCTCCTCTCCCTCTTATTTCCTGCTAAATACAATTCAACTAGAAGTCAGAGGGTAAGCAAGGCCCCTTACAGGTGATGATCTTCTTGGGGCATTCTTAGGACAAGAGTGAAAATCTGGAAGGGTAATCAGAAAATGTGTTATAATGATGAGTGAGTTTAAGGGAAAGGGAGCAAGACTTCTTGTGGGAAGGTTTTTTTGGGGAGTGGCAAATGGGAAGGAAAGGCCATTTCAAACTCCGCAGTTTCTCAGGTCATATGATCTATATGGGTTAACTACTGATGCATAACAATGTAATCGCAGTGTCTTCAAACAACAGCACATAGATTATTACACAGTCAGAAGCTGGGCACCGCTTAGCTACATTTTCTGCCTGGGGTCTCACAAGCTGCAATCAAGGTGTTGGTGGGGGCTGGGCTCTCATTTGGAGGCTCCACTGCGGGCAGGATCTACTTCCCTGCTTGTGTGGTTGTTGGCAGCATACTTCTCTGCTTCAGTTTTTGCTGGCTGTTGCTTTGAGACTGTCCTCAGCTCCTAGAGGCCACTCACACTTCCTTGCTATGTGAGTTTCCCCAGTATGGCTTCAAACCCTCTTTGCTACAACAGCCAACCTGTGGAGCTAAACAGGTGTAGTGGATCTGGAGCGTGTCATTGGGCAAGAAAGGGAAATGCCAAGGGGTCCTAGAGGTGGCAGATCTCAGAAAAACATCAGCAAGCATTCATTTTCAGAAGGCGAGGGCCCCTGTGGGCCGAGGAACTCCTGTGTGCAGGTCTGGGAACAAATAGGGCCAGGCATAAGCATTGCAGGGGGAGGCAGCGGCAGGCAGGGGGAGGTAGGGGGAGGCAGGGGAGGCAAGTAGAGAGGAAAGGTGAGAAAATTACAGTCTAGTGGTGGCGAATTTGACAGGGAATCCCTTTAGAAAACAGAGGCAGCATCCTTGGCAGCAGCTACTGTGATTGAAGGAAAGGAAGCAGTCAGAGACAAGAGACTGCCAGAAACCGAATGGGATTCTAGTTTGTATGGAAAAATACAAGAATAGCCAGGATATTGTGAGAAAAAAAGAGCAATGAGGGGTGACGTGCTGTATCATACAACTTCAGTAGTTAAAACAGTGTGCTAACAACACACGGATGGAGAGCATGACAATGAAACAGAAGAGGAAATCCAGATATAGACCCTAATATGTTTAGCATATGGTAAGCAGGCGTCTCAGATTAGTGGCAATAATAGGCTTCTTTAAAAAAACGTGATGGGAGGATGCCTGGCGGCTCAGTCGGAAGAGCCTGCAACTCTTGATCTCAGGGTCATGTGTTTTAGCCCCACACTGGGTGTGTAGAGATTAATAAACAAACAAACAAACATTAAAAAATAGTGATGGGAAAACTGAATAAACAATGGGGGAGAAAAGTTGGACGTACTTACTCCCTACACCAGGTTAAACATCCAATGAGTCAAAAATTGAAATGTAAAACACACACACACAGACACACACACACACTTAATTGAGGGGGGAGGAAGGGTAACACCTTTATAGCTGTGGAGAAAATCCTTTTAACAAAAAAAATCAATATTTGTTTTTATAAATGATTGAAAAATCAAATTATATAAAGATAAATTTCAGCGTGGCAAAAAAGAAAGCTTACTAAGTCAAATGACAAATTGGTGTCAAAATATAAGATTAACACTCAGTAACTAAGACCTCAAATCTGAGTTTATTACTTTAGAAATGGACAGGTATGTTGGTGGTCAGGTGATCAGCATTTCACAAAGCAAACTGTCAATCACATATAGGGGAGTGTGATAGTATTGATTATGTTGGAAAGTGTCTACTGGCAGGAGACCACCGATGATTAGTTGACTTTCAAAGCATAAGGCTGTTACTGATTGGTTGGTTTTCAGAGGTGTGTTCAATGAACCAAGTTGTCATTGATTGATTAGACAGGCTTATAACCTGTTCTGGTAAGGTTACTGGTTACCATGGCTATAGAACAATCCATCTTTCTCTCAGAGTGTGGGGACTCTTTTATTCCCATTGGGAAATTTTTTTGTAACTTATTACAAAGAAAGGGCCAATTTTCCCAATACATAAAGAGCCCCTAGAAATCGAGAAGCCCAATAACACAATAGAAAAATAAGAGCGCAAACAGAAAAAATAAATACTGTTCTTAGGGCATTTTAAATGCCTAAAATAAAAAAACTCACCTCAACCTCATTCAAAATAAGTGTTTTCTATAGTAACTGCTCTTAAGACTCTGGAGAAAAACACAAACCACATTCCATAAAATTAAGGTAAAATGACAAAATAATTGTTTCTCTCTTCCCCGACCAAAATAACCTTTTGACATTTAAAAACAATTTAATGGGGTGCCTGGGTGGCTCAGTTAAGCATCTGCCTTTGGCTCAGGTCATGATCCCAGCGTCCTGGGATCAAGCCCCACATCCGGTTCCCGGCTCAGTGGGGAGTCTGCTTCTCCCTCTATCTACGTCCCTCTGCCCCCCTCTCGTGCTCTCTCTCTCTTTCACTCTCTCTCTCAAATAAATAAAATCTTTTAAAAAGATAAAAAAAAAAGGGGGGGGGGCGCCTGGGTGGCTCAGTCGTTAAGTGCCTGCCTTCGGCTCAGGTCATGATCCCAGGGTCCTGGGATCGAGCCCCGCATTGGGCTCCCCGCTCAGCGGGAAGCCTGCTTCTCCCTCTCCCACTCCTCCTGCTTGTGTTCCCTCTCTCACTGTCTCTCTCTGTCAAATAAATAAAATCTTAAAAAAAAAAAAGATAAAAAAATAAAAATAAACAATTTAATGCAAAAGCCACCAAACTTAGAATAAATGTTTCAGAAAAATACATGATACTCAAAGAGTTTTTTAAGCCAAAGAAAAGTTGAGTTCAGTTTTTTTTTTTTTGTACCTTTTGCTACTATGCAGCATTAAAATTGCTACTTCTCCCCCTCCCCCAAAGACTTAGGTAATTAGGCCACTTATCTATTTTTTGGTTTGTGACCTGTTCTTATCAGCAACCCCCCCAAAATCTTTTTCTAAAAATAAGTCAGTTAATATAATTTTTAGCTTTATGCAAATAAAAGCTTTAGGCAGTTTGCTAAGCATTTGCCAATAGAAGGAATCAAGTAAATTTTTTTGTTTACAAGATGCATTTGCAAACAGGCAATTATTCTTGAAATGCTGAGGTTTTGAACACTTTTTAATTCAGTAAATTTAGAATACGGTTGTATAAATTACAGCACTTCTAGCTCTTTGGAACAATTCTCTCACACGTTAAAACCAAATTGATCTAGTATTCTCTTAGTGCCTCTTGCTAAAATTATACAATTTCTCTGCCATCTGATTTTTTTGTAATCTAGGTTTACTCTGGAGAATTACTTCATTATGATCTACTTCAATTACTCAAATGCCCTCCTTTAAATTTTATCCAGGTGTTCTAACTCTAGTATCTCTGAGATGTACCCAGAAATACACTCCTAGGAGCTCTGGGAATTTGGTGATCATGCTGGAGGCCTTAATTTTCCAAAAAGAAATTTTAGAGAGGGGTTCTTGGTGTCCCCGTAGGTAAGGAACTGGGAAGCTGGTAGGGAGTCAGGACAATGGTGGCTTTAGGTGATGTTAGTCTGTGTGATGTGATGCACACAAAACTTACTCTGAATAATCAACTCTGATCGAGATGGGGACACTCAGATATCATGAGGGCAATAGAAACTGACCAGTTGGGAAGGTTCTCCAGTTTACTTCCATAGATCCTTAACAAAGTTTTACTTCTGCATGTTTGTGTTTAAGCATTTTCCCACACATATTACTCCATTTTGTCAGGGTAAGAGCTTTCTGTGGTTTTGCCTTAGAGATTTCAAGACATCGCGCGCCTGGGTGGCTCAGATGGTTAAGCGTCTGCCTTCCGCTCAGGTCATGATCCCAGCGTCCTGGGATCGAGTCCCGCATCGGGCTCCCTGCTCCTTGGGAGCCTGCTTCTCCCTCTGCCTCTCTCTCTCTCTCTCTGTCTCTCATGAATAAATAAATAAAATCTTTGAAAAAAAAAAAAAAAAGAAATTTCAAGACATCTTAGTCCCAGAATCCACTGAAGGAAATCAGTGTGAGGGGAACCACACCTTCTTCTCTCTCAGTTCCGAGCCTGCCATCCCAAAGTCTGCAATGCTATGAAGGACACTTTCCCACTCTCCCAGCCTCCTCCATCAGCAAGCTTCCTGCTCAGTTCTATTATAAGTAGTAGGAGGAAAGGCAGAAAGGGGAGTCTTGTTTTTTACTGTTCCTATCAGTGTTACCCCAGCAGTGGCAGTTGACTCCAATTTCCAAATCCAGCTTTTCTAGAACTAGACTCACTTGACCCTTTCAGAGCACCAGCAGCACTTAAGAGGTTTCTTTCTCAAAGGTCTGAACGCCAATTCCGCATTCCCCCTCCCCCACCTCCTAAGTGCCTCATTCTAGTAACCCAAACTCTTCTGTTTCCCAGCTTTGAAGGCAGTAGGCACTTCCTGCAGTTATCATCTTTGGGTTATCTCAGTGTTCCTTCCCTTTTGTTCTAACACCTGTCTAACCGATTCCCTACACTCTATACCCTCTGTTGAAATATTGTGTTTTTGTTTTCTTAACTGGACCCTGATCAATACACATTTGTCTAGTATAAACCTGAGCAAGGAGTGGGATTCTCATCCTCATCCTGGTACTCAGGAAAGTCTGTGGTCAGTGTAACCTGCAGTAAAAGGCGGACACCCAAACTTTTTATGGGACTTAAGAGATGGAGAGGAATGATACAAAAAATGGACACTCCGTTTATGATCCCCTGCGACAGAAAGCCTTCTGAACTGAACTAGTTCCAGGGACAGAGCCTGATTGTGGCAACCTGGAACTACAAAAGCCAAGTTGAAGAGAAATGTAAAGTAAGTAAAATGTAGAGTCCCCTCAGCTGAACTCAAGGTTGCTCCAAGTCCTGCCAAGACAAGGCAAAATATTCTAGAGGGGAAAAAAATCAGACTCAAAATTTGAAGTCATAATTGTTTATTAAGATCTTCATGCAGGGGGCACCTGGGTGTCTCAGTCGGTTAAGCGACTGCCTTCGGCTCAGGTCATGATCCTGGAGTCCTGGGATCGAGTCCCGCATCGGGCTCCCTGCTCGGCAGGGAGTCTGCTTCTCCCTCTGACCCTCCCCCCTCTCATGCGCTCTCTCTCATTCTCTCTCTCTCAAATAAATAAATAAAATCTTAAAAAAAAAAAAGATCTTCATGCAGGAATAAGAAATGGGTATAAGTAGTGGCTCAAGTCCATCTTTTTAATCTCAAAGTTTTTAGTGTTTCACACACCTTTATCCATACCAGCTGTGAACTAGTACAGGGATTTGCAGACGCCACTTAGGATTTCTGAGAATTCGTTTCCTCTGGGGCCAAGGACTCTTGTGACCTGGGGCTTATAGGCAGGGGTCTCTTGCGATGCAGGGAGCTGCAGACACGCTTGGCAGAGGTGAGTGGAGTGTTCACCAGTAGACAGAAGGTAACTGCAGCTTATTGGATGCCACATTTGGGGATTTATGGGAGCACGAAGTCACTGGATGAAGTGAGACTCTTTCAAAAGTGGGACTGGTGGAGTAGTGAGGTCAGAGAAGAGCCAGGGGGAAGGAACCATCACTTATTCCAGTTCTTTTTTTGAATCAAGGCCTGTGCCAGGTGCTTACCTCTTGATAGCAACTAGGTTGGTTACATTAGGATTCCCATTCACAAATTAAGAAAGTGAGGTAATGAAAGGTAAGCAATTCACCTAAGGTCATATAGGTAGAGACCAAATTCAGAAGGGAATTCTAGGGGCACCTGGGTGGTTGGGTCCATTAAGTGTCCAACTCTTGATCTCAGCTCAGGTTCAGGGTCGTGAGTTCAAGCCCTGCGCTGGGCTCCACACTGGGTGTGGAGCCTACTTCAGAACCAAACAAAAACCATTCTTAGCCCACAAGCCCTACAACAACAGGCAACATGCAGATTTGGCCCCTGGGATGTACTTTACAGACCCTGTGCTAGGGCTTCCAGTTGAGGTCCTGGTGTACTCAACAGGCTCCCTTCCCTCAGGAGGTCATGAATGCTTTTGTCTCATCAGCAGCGTGAGCCTGATGACAACTCTCTGCTTTTCAGAGGTTTTCAGTCTTTGAGCCTCTGCCTGGAGCAATTTCAAAACTCGGCAATTACCTTAATGGGAAAATTGGCCTTGTGTCCGATGACCCTCAAGTCTCCAGTATTGTTATTCCAGTTTCATCAGAAGGCCAAGAGCTCTGCCAGTTTCTGTTCACTAGCAGCAGCCCTGATTCTTGTCCTGCATTCACAACAGGCACATGCTACCAGCAAAACCACTTTTTGGTTGCAAATATCAGTTCACTTCTCATTAAGTCTCCCTTCTCTCGAATCTTAACCCTGAACTTAGTCCTCATTGTTTCAGTAGCTCTCTGATGCTTTTCAGTAGGCAATTTTACCTTTCTTTCTTTTTTTTTTTTTTTTTAAAGATTTTATGTATTTATTTAATCAACAGAGAGAGAGACAGCAAGAGGTAACACAAGCAGGGGGAGTGGGAGAGGGAGAAGCAGGCTTCCCACTGAGCAGGGAGCCTGATGCAGGGCTCAATCCCAGGACCCTGCGATCATGACCCGAGCTGAAGGCAGTCGCTTAACCAACTGAGCCAAAGCAAGAGAGACCACAGAGAGAGAGTGAGAAGCAGACTCGCTGCTGAGCAGAAAGCCTGATGTGGGACTCGATCCCAGGACCCTGAGATCATGACCTGAACCCAAGGCAGAAGCTTAATGGACTGAGCCACCCAGGTGCCCTGGCAATTTTACATTTCTATCTCGCTCTTCTCATTGCTCTCAGCAGGAACGCAGGCCTGCTGCAAAGCTACCTGGAAAGCATAAGTCTTGCTTTTCAGATAAGTTAAAAATAGTACCTTAAAGCTAAATACATTCAAATCAACTCACAATACTCTATTTTTTTCCACTGAAAAAATCTTCCTGAATTATTTTTAAAATGTAAAGGCAAAAAATACCCTTCAGAGTGGTGCAGGCTAAGATTAATAAGCTCCCTTTATCTTGCAATATATATTTTTTATATAAGTTTATTTTTTTAGTAATCCCTAATATTCAACATGGTGCTCAAACTCAAGAACCTGAGATTGAGTCCCGTATACTCTTCCAACCGAGCCAGCCAGGTGCCCCTATCTTGCAACATTTTTTTAAAAAAGATTTATTTATTGATTTGAGAGAGAGAGAGAGCACGCACACGTGCAAGCGGGAAAGGGGCAGAGGGAGAGACCCAAGCCGACTCCCTGCTGAGCAAAGAGCTGGATGCGGGGCTCAATTCCAGGACCCTGAGATCATGACCCCAGCCGAAATCAAGAGTCTGTCACTCAACCAACTGAGCCACCCAGGCGCTCCTATCTTGCAACATTTAAAAAACATTTAAATTTTGACTAGATGATATATTCAGTATGATTGAAAATTCAAAAACTAGAAAAGAACACAGACTGAAAAGTCATTCTTCCCCCCATCTCCCAGCCCCACGGTTTCTCTCCCTGATGGCAACGTTAATTGCTTCTCTTTCTAGACATTTTATGCAAATACATGTATATATCTTTTCATACCAGTAAAGTGGTTTTGCTGTTAATTGCTACATAGTATTTCATTGTACCATCATTTATTATCTACTGATGTGACATTAAGGTTGTTTCTAAGCTTATTATTATAAATAGTGCCATACAAAAATATTTTATACATGTCATTCTACATGTAGGAAATTCCTAGAAATAGAATTGCCAAATTTGGAATTGGGATTTTTAATTTTCTGCTGATACCAACCAACAGATAACAGTGCCTATTTCCCCACACTCTTGCCAAGATTTAAACACACATACATACACAAAAGCAAAACAAAAAAACACCTTTATCTTAACTAATGTGAAGGGTAGAAAAATGTATAAACATTAGTTTAAGTGACATTTTGCATCTTTTCACATATTTAAGAGACATTTGTATTTCCTTTCCTGGGAACTATGTTTCTTGGGAACATTTCTAATTTTCCTTTCGAGTTATTAATTGTTTTCATAATGTATCAGCAGATACTTTGCATAAAGGAAATGAGCTCTTTGTGATGAACTGCATCTACTCCCCGCCAACCCTCCCGCCATTTGCCATGTCTTCCAATTTTCCATTATGGTAGTAGTTTTTGTTATGCAGAACTTTTTATTTTTATGTAGTTAATTTTTATTTTTTAATTGTGGTAAAATACATGTAATAGACCATTTTAATTTTTATTATTTTAATTTTCAGATTCTCAACCTCTGCACTGTTCTAGTGCTCCCTGAGAAGTTAAACACTCTCCTATCCCTCCACAAAAGTGAGAGGAAAAAGTAGCAATATACTCTAATGACTGACACAAAACATTTATTAGTTTCTAACGAAAAGGCATATAAGGTAGGGCTATCAGAAAAACTAACAGAGAAATGAAAATTTATCTTAAGGTCAGGAAAACTTCTTCACAGACAAATAAGTGGTTAAATGTATAAATCCTATATATGTCACACTATTTTTTCCCCTTTTTGGTCATGGACTATTCCAGGAAAATTTAATTATACAACTTTTGAGGAGTTCTAACAGTGTCCACCCTAAAATGTTAAGTGAAATTGCTCTTAGAAAAATACTGGTTTGATGAGAAGACAGATATTAGTGTATTCTGGAGAAATTTGGTTAGTTTCTGACTAGACTTCTTTCCAGCACAATCATTACTCAGAGGGCAATCACTTTTTTTTTTTGAGAAAGGGCAAACTAGATTTTAAATTAGCATCAGAATTCTACCCATAATTACCCGATCAATATCAGAATAGATGCCATTAACTATGCAAAGACTAACAGAATTTCAGTTACAAAATTTGGAGGAAAAAAAATCTTAATAATGTACAAAAATATTGACAAATTTAAGCTAGAATTAGCTCTAGAATGTTTTATTTTTACTTTAAAAGGATGGACAACTAGAGATCAGCAGAAATGCTGTTAAAACTGCTATTTGCTTAAAACTGTTTATATTAATGAAAAAAAGATTAATAGTCTCCAAGTTAAATTTCACAAAATGAAATCACTGCCTTCTGATTTAACTTTCAGGGGTAAGATGGCAAAACCCAAGCATCAGACTCTCTTTTTCTGCCCATAAACACATATAAAAGTCAGCATCAATACAAATGATAATATAAGGAAATAAACACATGGTTATGTCTCAGGTCCCACAACAAAAGATATTATATTTAACTCTCCTACAGTAAAATCCCATTTTTTTTTCCTGGAATAGCAGATTAATAGAAATGTGAAATCCCTAAATTTCAGGCAATTTAGCAATTGATTTTGATTTTGATACCAGATACTATGATGTGAAAAGCTATAAAACCCAAATGTTTTCCATGTCATTTAGCAAAGAAAGGAGGAGGGAGAACCCTCTACCAAACTCCACCGGCTACTCCCTCTGAGGCCCAGTTTCTGAACCCTCACTCAGTTCCAACACTTCCAAATGGTCAACCTGCCCCCACAGAGCTGCACCCCAACTCTTAACTCCTTTTGCATCAAGAGCCTAGTTTCCTTTCTGTCAACTGATTCCTAATTTTCCAGGAAACTCTGATTTTTCTGATTACGCATTGATCATAAACCATTTTAAATTGAAGAAAATGCTATAATGGTTAAAATAATTAAAGTGGAGATGAAAACTAGATTACTTTAGTGTTATGGAAGATGCATTTCAAGTGCTCTGCAAATATATGGGAAAGTGGCAAGAAAACTCACCCTGCCTGGGTTCCTAACTACTCCGTATAGTACCATCTTGCTTTGATTACTAGTTAGGACAAGAAGGGAAGCAAAGGCTGTAAAACATGCATTTCTGGGAAACAGAATGGCACTTGAAGATTTCTTGGGAGTTCACCAAGGCATTTTTATATCCGTAAGGATTGTCAAACTTAGTACATCATAATTATTAAAAAAGCAAAGGATTGGGACTCCTGCTTACCACTGAGTTTGGCAGAAACACATTTATATAGTCCTCCCTTGTAATCACACAGTCCTTTATAGACGATGAGTGTGACCATTATAAAGAGTCTATGACAGAAAAGAGAGCTTCATAATCCAGCTTTACTAGATTATAAAACACTCCTTCTCCCCATGCATTACTTTGTATATCTCTGAAACATCTGAAAAATACTTTTCTGTGACTTACTAGGCTGTAGGGAACTTTTAGATACATTACAATTATCTCTAGAAGAATTTGGCACCTTTCTCCCATTAACTGAATGTTTCAACTGGATCTTAAAAGATGGCTGCCAATTTTCATTTTTTGAGCCTCTCCAAGATTTTGAATGCTCTGTATCAGTCTGTTTTTTGAAGTTCCTATCTTTGGAATTCTTGCTCTGTCCATTTAACAATTTGTCTGGAGGTGAAGATGTAGGACGTAAATGATACTCATCTGGGGATCCTTTTTGCCGGTTTGGCTTCTTTTGTTCTTTATCTACTTCTTTCTGAAGCTGTAACGCTAATAACCTATCCTGTTCTTCTTGTTTATGTCTCTCAAAAAGTAAGTGTTCCAAATCTATCAGTTTTTGGGTAAAGTTGATTTCTGTTTCCTCTTGATCTGAGGAAGCTTCGGGGAACATTTTCCTTCTTTTTGCAGAAACGCATGGATCCCTGACTGCTTCAGACAAAGATTCCGGGTTTTTTCTTTTGGAAATATCTTTACTGATCGATAGACAAGAGTCTTCATTTTCTGTCTCAACTGTATTACTTCCAATTATCTGTGTCATACCTGATACAGTGCACCCACTCTCTGTTTTGCCATAAGGCTTAACTGCAGCTTCCCCAGAGCAGGGAACTCTGCCTTCAGGTCCCTCATGATTTAGGACACTTAGCTCTTTATCATGATTCGTTGGTCTCACTTTGACTTCCCCTTCAAGGCACCATTCTCCACCATCAGCACATAACTGAGGCATGGGTGACTCTGAAGACTTTTCACCCTGTTCTTGAATTTCCACGCATATTTGCCGAGAAAGTATTGGCATATCTTCCTCAATTTCTGTATCTTGCCATGCAGGGCTCTTTACAACACTACTGTCAGTTTCCTGTAGAAAACAGAAAAAGACGGAGTGAACCACAGGAAAAACATCAAGTCATAATACAGAAGTCTAATATCGTGATACTCTGAGTGTTCACTACAGGATAGCATCACTACTAATAACGCATATTAATTCATAATAGTATTTTTATTCTGTGTGCCAATTTAGATTAAGGCATTCCTTCATTTTAATTCCCATGAAAACCTACAGATTAAAACCCACAAACTAGATTCTGTGTATGGTCAATAAGCTCTCACCGGGACCTGACCTCTCTTTCACCTTATACCTCTAGCCCAGAGGTTTTTAGTCCCTTTTTGTGCCACGGACTCTCCACCTTTCAGCATTTTGGTGAAGCTTACAGACCTCTTCTGAATACTTTAAAATATAAAAATAAATAAATGGGATTACAAAGGGAATAATTTATATTGCAACACAATTATATCATTCCTCATGTAATGTGCATCCAGTAATACATTAAATAGTAAGATCTATTGGGGCAAGTCTAATAACTTGTAATGCTGAAGTAGGATGAGTAACAATGGTATTTCAAGAAACCTGCCACAAACATAACATGATAAAAACCTGTGCTTTCCACTGATGACCAAAGGCACAGCTTTTGCTAACAGTATTATGGCTCGATGTCTACATTCGTAATTAAAGGAATGAGAGGTTAGGTGAAAGTAAAGATAAACCTTTTCCTCCATTTAAGTTCATATGTACTCTCTGGATTCTAACCACAGTCCTAGACCTTAGGTTAAGAACACTTGCTTTAAAAAAAAGAGAAAGAAAGAAGAAAGAAAAACAGAAAGAAGAAGAAGGAAAGGAAAGGAAAATGAAAGGAAAAAAAAAAGAACCCTTGCTTTTGCCAGTATGTTTTTCTTTTCACTTATAGGTCTTAGGTAAGTGAAGACCTAGGATTCGTTCTGACCATAGAAAAGCCTTAAGAAAGGCTTTGGTGAAAATCTGACTCAGAACAAAAATTACTCCTTGTTGTTAGAGACCTTAAATCTGTTCTTTTATCTACTTTGCTTTGTCTTTATCATTCCTTATAGCATTTCTTATGAACCAGTCCAGTTTGGACTGGATAAATTCCAGGTTACTTATCTAGTTTTGCTGTGAATATGAACACCAGGGTAGGACAAATATCCCCACCCTACAAAGCCTCTTCCATCCTCAGTTCTAGTATGAGCCAGACCATCTGGACTTGAATCCTCCCTCCAGCATCTCTACTTAAGGGACTCTGCACAAGTCTCTTATCTGCATGTGCCTTAGTTAATTCCTAACTGTAAAATGGGCACAAGAATGAATACCTTACCTTACAGAGTTGGTGCCTGGAGACTGAAGAAAATAATACATACATTATCTGGCACATGGTAAATGCCAATTAAATGATAGGTTTTAAACTACCTAGCTGAGTTTTAAAAAAATTTAGGAACCTCCTAGTGAAGGGTTAACAAAACTTCTCTGTAGGAAATGAACCTTGGTGTCAGCTCACATTTCCTAGTTCTATTCTCCTGGAAACCTAGTGACCTGTGTTACTAGGCCACATAGCTTATGGTAAAAATGACCTTCCTGGTGAATTGCATCTATACTAGGAGAACTATGAGTGATCTCTAAGTACCCAATGGGAAACCAAATCTTGGGGCTTCTGTGACTTACAACTCTTCCGACCTGCTGTGTTCCTTCCCAGGACCCCTGGAAGCTACACCCATTGGTTGTTAATAACTGACTCTTTATGGAGCACAGGGCTTCTAAGCCAGGGTGATTACCACATTCTCTGCATTGTCTCATTCCCAGGCTCTCACTTAGGAGCTCTATAGCGAAGACTCTTGCTGCACAGACATGCCTGACGCTACCCTACTAGCATGCTTTGTTTCTCATCCTCTAATTCTCCCTTAAACTGAAGCTGGGACCAGGGGTAGCCTATTTGGTTTTGCGAGTTTGATTGTCTAAGCCAGGGATCCACAAACCATGGCCCATGAACCAAATTCAGCCTGCTGCTTGCTTTTATAAATAGTTTTACTTGATCAAAGAGAAGTCTATTAGTTTATGTATTGTCTATGGATGCTTTCACACGAAAACAGCAGAGTTGAATAGTTGTGACAGAGACCACAGGGCCACAGAATATTTATTATCTGGCCCTTTAGAGAAGTTTGTTGACTCCTAGTCTAGGTGAGCCTAAGATGACTAAGAAAGGGTATTCCATATACCAGAGTGACTAAAAAAAAAAAGTTAGGAAACTACAAATATTAGCAATCTATAGCATTAGTAAACTTGCCAAACTGAGAACATCTTTAGTATCCACATACCTTAGACGTGGAGTCCTTCCTCCTTTCTTGTACAATTTCAAACTGTGATGCTGACCCAAACTGAGATTTAGGTGACAAATACCTTACCCAAAAAAAAAAAAAAAAAAAGGTTTACCAAAGTTTGAATGGTTTGACAGACAAGTGGCATGTAACCAACATAATAAGCCAGATTACCTACTTATGTAAAGGTTGTCTGGTCTGCTGTTTGGCTGACTGATCAGAAAGAATGTATTTTATCTCCTTGTCTCAGGTTATTTTGGCCTAATTCCCAAGCAAAACTTAAAAGGCTGAGTACTATATTTTAGTGAAAAACAGCAGAAAAGGAAGTAAAAGTCAAATCTAAATATTTCTTAATTCTCAAAAAAAATTTCAAAAGGTAGATTAGCATCGAAACAACGCAAGACTATAAAGTCTTTCCAAAAGTAATGGAAATGACATTTTAAATCAGGAGAAAGGAGATGTTTCTTTTTAATGCCACGAATTCTGGCTGTTTACTACATTTTTAATGTCTACTATTGGGAAAGCACTCATAATTAGATTCTCTACCACTTTGGTATACAGATTTTCTTAGATACATATTTTATATCAACTGTCTGCCTAGAGAAATACAGATACATCAATACATGAGTGTAAGGGCATCTCTAAACTTCTAAGCATCTCTAATAGGCTGTTTGCCACTGAAAACATGAAAGTTTGTACTCTGATGAAAAATGCTGTAAAAAAATGGGAATAAAAGGACAGGTTATGAGATGGTAGGTATACTTAAAAAACTGTAAAAAATCTAAACATATATACAACTATGCTTAAAAATGGCAGAAATGTCCTAAAATGTTGGCTGTCTTCAAGTGGTGGTAACTTTGGGTGATTTTCAAGGAGTATCTAGCTGTTGTTTTTATAATTAAAGAGAACAACAGAAAAATGTCTGATTGCAAATAATATGTAAAACCATAAGTTCCACTGTGTCCAAAGTACCAACGAGTATGTGGAAAAATAAAAATCTAGACAAAGATGTCATATAAAGAGCAAAGAATAATATCCCTTATAGATTAGAGTACCTACACCACACATTTAGTTGATTCAATCTAAATACTTACTCTGCAAACTTGTAAGTACAAGAACTACCTTTTCAATTGATAAGAGAAAACAGGAGCCCAGGGTTAGTCCCTTTTATTTATTTATTTATTTATTTTTGAGAGCATGCGCACGTGTGTGCACATGAGGGTAAGGGCAGAGACAGAGGGAGAGAGAGAATCTTAAGCAGGCTCCATGCCCAACAGAGCCTGACCTGTGGGACATGTGGCTCGATCCCAAGACTCTAAGACCATGACCTGAGTCAAATCAAGAGTTGGATGCTTAACCGACTGAGCCACCTAGTCTCATTTTGTTTCCCAAAGCCGAAGAATCCCTTCTGCCAAAGTTGGATATTAGTTACCAAAAAAGAATTACTATAGCATAATAGTTTTTTTTTGAAATCCATAAGCAGAGAAAACGTGACCAGATACTTATTCAACATAATCAAGAAAGATTTATGAACTGTCCTGAATATTCTTTATGATAACTGGGTAATGTATGAATACATGCTCATCCTAAAAAAGTAAACAGAAATATAAGACATATATACCATCATCCCTTTCCATTCCAATTTGCTTCCTCATACGTAACCAATTGCTTTAAAAATATGATTTCTATATAATACGCACTATCTCTTTTTTAAAACAATCATATTCTGTGACTTCCTTTTTTCACTTAAGTTCTTAAAGATCTAAGAGAGTATGTCTCAGTCTACATCATGAAAACAAACGGTTTACAAGAGAAGAGTTACAAAACATATGTAAGAATACATAGTGGTTCAGGGAGAGGGATACTGACTGGGAAAGGATACCAGTGAACCTTTTGAAAATATTCTGTAGCTTAATCTGGAGGATGGTTTATACATAGGTAAAAATTCACCAAACTACGCTTAAGATTAGTGCACTTTAATATATGTATGTTACCATTTTTAAAAGTTTTAAATCTTTATATTATCATAAAAACCCAAAACTTATCAATGGTTTAAGTGGGGGGGGATCACTGATTTTAAAATCCTTTATGGGGCCTCCTCTTTGTCCCCCACCTCAGAGACAATGACTATCCAGAGTTTTTTCTTACTTTTAAAATAGTTTTATCACACATTTGAATCCCTAAACATGAATTGCTTAGTACTGCATTTTGACCTTTACATATACAGAATCATACTACATGTATTCTACCAGCTTTTTTTCTTCACCCATTTTCATGATTTATGCATGTTGTCCTCAGCTAGATTCATATTGACTGTTGGATAGTACTCAGCTCTACTTGGAGACATCTGGCTGCTTTGGCTCTTTGCTATTATGAATAGCACTGCTGGGAACATTCCTGTACATATCTTCTAGGGTTTCTTTGGCATCTACACCCCAGAGTCCTAGAGTATCAACCTTTTACATTTCCACCTAATATGTAAGTGCTCCTTATCGTCTATGACACTTAATATTGCCAGAAAGCTTAATTTTTCCAATAGGATGAGCTTGAAATGCTACCTCACTGTGATTTTAATTTGTGTTTCCTTAATTACTCATAAGGTTCAATATCTTCTCAAATATATATTAACTTTCAGGTTTCGTTTTCTATGAAGTCAAAATTTTTTACCTATTTTTCTACTGATCTTTTTCTTACTCAGAGGTGGGTATTTCTGTAATAGTACATTACCTTTTTTCAGTTAAGTAAGTTAAAATTTCTTTTTCTTTTTTTTTTTTTTTTGTAAGTAGGTTCCATACCCATCGTGGAGCCCAACATGGGCCTGAACTCACTCATGAGATCAAGACCTGAGCTGAAATCAAGAGTCAGATGCTTACCTACTGAATCACCAAGGCGCCCCAAGTTAAAATATCTTCTTATAGATCATCATTTTATCCTCTAAAGGTGTTTTGATAAAAAACATTCTTAATCTTATAATCTAATTATTTTTTGCTCTTTAAAATATCCTTCCCCAGGACACCTGGGTGACTCAGTTGGTTAAGGATCTGCCTTCAGCTCAGGTCATGATCCCAGAGTCCTGGGATCCAGTTCCGCATCGGGCTCCTTGCTCAGCAGGGAGTCTGCTTCTCCCTCTCCCTGCTGCTCCCCCTGCTTGTGCACACGCTCGCACTCTGGCAAATAAATAAAATCTTCCAAAAATAAAATATCCTTCCCCAAAGATAATCTCCTTCATTATCTTTCTAAAGTTTTATAGTTTGTCTTTTTAATAAGATCTTTCATTCGCCTTAATTGTTATATATAGTATGAGTAGAGATCCAAGCTCATTCTTTCCTCATACAGTCCATTGTCCCAGCAGCATTTATTGACAAATTCATCCTTTTCCCATTGCTCCCAACATGAGCAATGACAACTACTGTACTGGTTACTCAAAGTACCCCAAAACTTAGTGGCTTAAAACAACAAACATTATCTCACTGCTACTGAGGGTCAGGAATCCAAGAGCAGCTTAGCTGGTGGTTCTAGCTCAGGATCTCTTATCAGGGTCTAGTGAAAATGTTGGTCAGTCATCTAAAGGCTTGACTGGGGCTAGAGGATCACCTTCCAAGAAAGCTCACTCACAAAGGTTATTCTGGAGGTCCCACTTCTTTACTGGCTGTTGGCAGAAGTCCCCAGTTCCTTACCATGTGGGCCTCTCCATAGGGCTGCTCACAACAGGGCAGCTAAATTTTCCACAGCAAGTAATCCAAAAGAAAAAAGTCACAGTGCCTTTTAGAACTTAGTCCCCCAAATGTACAATGTCTCTTTGGGTAATTCTATTTGTATACTTAAGTCCAGCCCACATTCAAGGGGTGGAGAATTGGGCTCTGTCTTTTTAAGGGAGTAGTATCAAAGAATTTGTGGACATATTTTAGAAACACCAAAGCCCTCACGGAGGCTGCATAAATTGCTGTATTTCTAAACTATTACATTGCCTCAATTATTTTGTTTATCCATCCCTGTGCAAATACCACATATATTTACTTGTACATTTTAAAGCATCCAACTCTCCACCACACATTTTATCTCTCTTTGGCAGTATCTGAAAGCCCTTTCTCTTCCATATAAATTTTTAATTCAGTATGTCAAGTTTAAAAAAAGGTTAGGATTGGGGGGAGACGAACCATGAGAGACGATGGACTCTGAAAAACAAACTGAGGGTTCTAGAGGGGAGGGAGGTAGGAGGATAGGTTAGCCTGGTGATGGGTATTAAAGAGGGCACGTTCTGCATGGACCACTGGGTGTTATGCACAAACAATGAATCATGGAACACTACATAAAAAACTAATGATGTAATGTATGGTGATTAACATAACAATAAAAATTTTTTAAAAAAGGTTAGGATTGTGATTTCAATTGCACTGAATCTGTTGATCAGTTTGGGGAGATCTGACATTTGGCATCACTGTAATATTAGATATCTTCCAATCCACGAATCCTGCATATTTCTTTAATATGATAAAATTTTATAATATTCTCCATAAGGTCCTACAGATTTTGCAGTAAATTTATTTCTAAGCACTTTTTATTTTCTAATGCTATAATAAACTGAATCTTAAGTTACATTTCCAACAGACTTTTTGTAGATTTTGCATCCACCAAACTTGCTAAACTCTTGATTTTAAAAGTGTATCTCTGACCTCTCAGATTTTCAATGTATTTGCTATATTCCACCTCTATTAAGAATGGTTTCTTTTCCAAGCTCATTACCTTTTGTTTCCTTTTATTGTCTTACTGTGCAGACTGAAATCTCTAGCACAACACTGAACAGAAGTGGTAAATGGCAGGCCACCTTTGTATTTTCCTTAACAGGAATGATTTCCATTTACTACCATAAAGTATGATATCTGGTATAAATTTCCTAGTAGATATCCTTTAACAGGTAAGTTTCTTCCTATTCCCACTTTATTAAGAATTCTCATTCTCATGCTTTTGATATTTAAATGGTTAATAGTTAATAGGTTAACATTAAATCATCATCTAATATTAAGCCAGCAATGTATTCCTGGAATTGTCATTTTAAATATATTCTTGGGGCACCTGAATGGCTTAGTCAGTTAAGTGTCTGACTCTTGGTTTAGGCTGTCATGATCTCAGGATCATGAGACAGAGCCTTGCACTGGGCTTTGCGCTTAGCTCAGAGTCAGCCTGGGATTCTTTCCCCTCCCACTCCCTCCCGCTCTGTTCCTCCCTCTGTCTCTAAAATAAATAAATAAATGAAGGAAGGAAGGAAGGAATAAATAATTTATTTTCAGCCTTTCTCCCTTTTCTTTCTTTTTTTGAAATATTTTATTTACTGTCGGAGAAAGAGAGTATAAGCAGGGGGAGCGTCAGGCAGAGGGAGAAGCAGGTCCCCTTGCTGAGCAAGGAGCCCGATGCGGAACTGGATCCCAGGACCCTGGGATCATGACCCGAGCCGAAGGCAGACACTTAACTGACTGAGCCACCCAGATGTCCTGTTTCTCCCTTTTTCTGATATGTCATTTAAGGTTTTCTAAATACCACTTCAGTTACCTTCCAAAAGTTTGGATGTATAATACTTTCAGTTCTATTATTTCCATCAAGATTTCTTTAACCAATGAATTACTTAGCAGTTTTTCTTAATTTTCAAACACTTGAGTGGTCTTTTTGTTAATCATTTTAAATTTGAGATGAAATCCTATGACACAAAATTAACCATTTAAAAATGTACAGTTCAGTGGCATCTTAGTATGTTTATGAAGTTGTAAAACCCCATCACCTCTACTCAGTTCCAAAATGCTTTCATCATCCCCAAAGGAAACCATGCATGTGTTAAGCAGTAGCTCCCCATCCCCACCACTCCCCAGCCACTGGCAACTACAAACCTGCTTTCTGTCTTTACACATGTACCTACGCTAGCGATTTCATATAAATAAAATTGTATAAAAGGCAGCCCCTTTTTGTCTGGCTTACTTCACTTATCATGTTTCTGAGGTTCATTTATGTTACAGCATGTATCAGTATGTCACTCCTTTTTAGAGCTGAGTAATATTCTGTTGTATGGATTATACCACATTTTGTTTATCCATTCATCCTTCAATGGACATTTGCATTTGTCCATCCTTTGGCTGTCTGAAGTGCTGACAGAAACATCTATGTACAAATATTTGTTAGAATTCCGGTTTTCAATTCTTTTGAGTAGATAGGTAGGAATGGAATTGCTGGGTCATATGGTAATTCTGTTTAACCTTCTGAGGAACTATCAAATTGCACCATTTTATTTCCTCACCAGTAATCGTACAAGATTCCAATTTCTCCGATCCTTGCCAACACTTATTTTCCTCTTTTTGGATTATAGACATCCTAGTGAATATGAAGTGGTATCTAACTGTAGTTTTGATTTGCATTTCCATAATGACTACTAATATTGGGCATCTTTTTCATGTGCTTATTGGCCATACATACATCATTGGAGAAATGTCTATTCATGTCCTTTGCTCATTTTGAAACTGGGTTGTCTTTTAAGTTATATAAGAATTCTTATATGTTCTAGAGATTAGACGTTATCTGTTTTTAACTTTGCTTTAACTTTAATCTACTAGTTTCTCAATTTCTTTAATTTCTGCTTTTAAATTCACCTGTCCATTTTTGTATTTCTAGTAAATTTCTATCTTTATATATTTCAAAGTATATATTTAGGTACGTGAAGATTCATGACAGTTACATCCTTTAAGCAGAACAATATTACATCAATATGAAATATCTCTGCTTTTCTCTTAATGGTTTTTCTCTTGATTTCTACTTTGCATAACATCAGCATTAACAATACTGATACTGAGACATCTGTTTTTCTCTTTCAATAGCAATCTCCGGGGCTCTTGGGTGGCTCAGTCGTTAAGCGTCTGCCTTCAGCTCAGGTCATGATCCCAGGCTCCTGGGATCGAGCCCCGCATCGGGCTCCCTGCTCCGCGGGAAGCCTGCTTCTCCCTCTCACACTCCCCTTGCTTGTGTTCCCTCTCTCGCTGCCTCTCTCTCTGTCAAATAAATAAATAAAATCTTTAAAAAATAAAAAAAATAAAAAAAAATAGCAATCTCATTTAACTGCCCCCCCAAATCTCCATCTCCCTGCTCCAAAATGAAAATTTCTATGAGTTTTGGAAGGAGGTAAATTACCTGCACATATTTATTCAACTGAGCCAAAACCCCTTACATATTTTTACTAATTTATTTTTAAAATAGGCTCCACACCCAACGTGGGACTTGAACTCATGACCCTGAGATTAAGAGTTGCATGACCTACCAACTGAGCCAGCCAGCTGCCCCTGTTTTTAAACTCTAGATTGTGGTTCTTAAACTTTTCCAACTGTTAATTAGTATGGGAAAGCTTATATACTAATAAAATCATCAACTCTACCTGCTCCTGGAGGGGCACTGTGAGGAGACTAAATCCACACCACTACTAAATCACTACTGACTACCTGACTCATGTTTTTTGTATAGTAGAGAAGAAATATAGTGCATAAACTGAGAAAAAAAGGGTGGGGGAATGACCTAGATGCCAAGTTATAAACTTTTTCAGTGAGGATGACCTTGTATGGGACTAGCTTTTCTCATGTGAATCTAAACCAAGAGAAAAAGGAATCCAAATGGTTAATTCTGAGAAAATAGGAACATGAAAATCCTGAGGCATCAAGATAAAAAAGACTTCAGGGACACCTAGGTGGTTCAGTTGGCTAAGCATCTGATTCTTGATTTTGGCTCAGGTCATGATCTCAGGGTTGTGAGACTGAGCCCTGTGTCAGGCTCTGCGCTGGGTGTTGGTGCCTGCTTGGGATTCTCTCCCTCTCCCCCTGCCTCCCCTTCCCCACTCTTTCCCCTCTCTCTTAAAACAAAACAAGACTTCATATCTCTCTTCAGGATAACCAGGCATCTAAGCTAGCACCCTTATTTTCACTTTACATCAATCTGAGACCATCTCAGACCACCTGGAGAGTTTTCAGGCAAAGTTCATGGACCAAATTTTAACAATCAGCAGACTGTATAAGCAAAAACACCAGCATACAGTAAGTGATCAATAAATAACTGATAGGGGCACCTGGGTGGCTCAGTCAGTTAAGCATCTGACTCTTGATTTTGGCTCAGGTCATGATCTCAGGGTTGTGAGATCAAGCCGTATACTGGGCTCCATTCTGGGCATGGAGTCTGCTTAAGATTCTCTCTCTCCCTCTCCCACTGGCCCTCCCCAACCCCCTATCTGTGCACACGCTCTGTCTTTCTCTCTCTCCCTCTAAATACATACATACATACATACATATTCATGTTCACTTACTTATGAATATCTCCAGTATTTGTTTGTTTGTTCTTACTTTTCTTTTGAGACTTGGTTGTGACTGTATCAGATTTTCTGGAATTCAAGGGAGAAGCCAAGACACTTCCATCACAGAAATTGTTCTTCAACAGAAAAAGCGTAACAGACATTATTTAAAGAAATTGTAATAAAATAGGCTATTATTTTGACTAATTCAGAATCCACAATGAAATTTTTCAGGAATTATGCTCACATTTAAATTTTACACATCCTTTGAATAACTGACCATGCATAAATTAGTATAAATAGGATTATGTCCATCCAAGTTGGTCTACATTAATTACATTTTTACTTTGCATTATAAAGCACAAAGGGCATGATGATACAATAATAATCATTTTTCTAATGAATGGCTTCATATAATTATAGCTACCATTTTTCTAATGAATGGCTTCATATAATTATAGCTACCTTAATCTATAGGGGAAAATTCAAAGAGTTGTGGATATACCTGGAATAAAAGGTAATTTTATGTAAAAATAATTTAATTTAGGGATTTAAGAGCATACCAATATCATAAATATTTACTTGCTATCCCAGTCTCACAAGCTTCTCACTACACTACTGGAGAAATTAATATACTTAGTGATGGTAGACATTTGGCCCTGGACCACCAAACTTTCTCAAGTAAACCCAGAATTCTTATAAAATATCAATAGATCTACTGTTTTAATTCCTGTTAAAAACAAGAAGGTTTGGAACAAGACCCTTGACAGGTAAAGATGACCCCAAATTCTCCTCTTTGATGTATTTTCTTACCTATGTCATTTGTTTTTCTATTGATCAATGTCTTTAATTTCCTGATTGTGTACCTTTTCAAAACTATTCTACTAAAATTTTAAAAAGAAGATATATATATATTAAAGAGGGCAGGGGTGCCTGGGTGGCTCAGCTGGTTAAGCTTCTGACTTGACTGTGGCTGAGGTCATGATCTCCAGGCCCATGTTAGGCTCTGTGCTGGGCATGGAGCCTGCCTGGGATTCTCTCTCTCTCCCTCTAAAAAAAAAAGGGGGGGGGGGCATATAATCTAAAACTTGGGTACACTATTATGAATAGTAGGCCTCTCAAAAAAAAAAAAAAATCCCAATTCTGGATATACTTTGTTTGGGTAAGTATATTTTAAGGTATTTGTTGTTTAAAAGCGGAAGAATTATTTTTAGAGGCTCTCAAACCTCAATGTACACCAGGCTTCCCTAGATGCCTCTGGGAATGGTATTCCCTAAATCCCAACCCAGAGAATCTGATGCAGTAGATTTAGAACAGGTACGGGAATTTGTATTTTAAAAGAACCCCAGGTGATTCTGCCAGGTTCTTCCAAATCACTGGGTCCCACTGTACCCTCAAGTCTTAAAGTATGGTTTTATCATCCTTTCTTCTCTTCATGTAGTAATTTAACTACAGCAAGATAATAAAATCCAAGTCTAGTGTATTACTTAAAAATTTAATGTGCTTCACTTTCAAAAAGTGATTTGCATCCATACAATGGAATATTATGCCATTCTTAAAAAGAATTAGATAAGACTATATGTATTTACAGGAACAATCTCTAAGATATATCAAGTCAAAAAAGGCAAGGAAAAAACAGTGTGATTGATACATTCTTTTTAGGTAAGAAAATATAAAATATAGAAGTTAGCACTGTTAATAGTGCTAACTTTTGGGGAAAGAGACTAATTTAGTAATGGAACAGGAATGAGAATACAGAAGTGGGAGGGGAGAGAGGAAGCTTTCACTTTTAATAGCTTTCCTACATACTCTGAATTTACTAACAGAGCAAATATGTAACATGCAAAAAATTTAACAATATGCAAAAAAAAATTTGTTTTAAGTAGAGCAAATATGTCAGAAATTGCTTCTAGTCATGGTGAACACTTCCTCAGATCTTTAAAAACCACATAGTCAGGAAGCGCAGTTGGTTAAGTGGCTGACTTGGTTTCAGCTCAGGTTGTGATCTCCGCGCTCGGGGTGGGGTCTGTTTGAGATTCTCTCTCCCTCTCCCTCTGCCCCTCGGTTCATGCTCTCTTTAAAATAAGTAAATCCTTTAAAAAAAAAAAAGAAAGAAAGAAAAGAAAAGAAAAGAAAAGAAAAAAGAAAGAAAGAAAGAAAACCACATAGTCTAAAGCAATAGGAACATTAATACTTCAAAGTTCTCTCCTAAAACTTACAATATTAATGCTTAGCTTCCTTGCTAGTTCTTCATCACTTTTCACTTGTTCTTCCATCTCTCTTCGCCTTTTTTCTGCCTGTCGTTTTTCCTCCTCTTCCTCCTCTGCTAATAATCTCTGTATGTATTCTTCACTGGCTTTGTTTTCTTCTTCCTCACTGGCTCGTCGCTCTGCCTCCACCTTAAAAATGATTAATAAAGAACACTTCTCTGAACTTTTTTTTTTTTTTAAGATTTTATTTATTTATTTGAGAGAGAGAATGAGAGGGGGGAGGGTCAGAGAGAGAGGCAGACTCCCTGCTGAGCAGGGAGCCCGACGTGGGACTCGATCCCGGGACTCCAGGATCATGACCTGAGCCGAAGGCAGTCACTTAACCAACTGAGCCACCAAGGCGCCCTTCTCTGAACTTTTTTAATATACTTGCAACATTCCTTTTTTTTTTAAAGTAGGCCCTATGTCCAGTGTGGAGCCCAACACAGGGCTTGAACTCATGACCCTGATGCCAAGGTCTGAGCTGAGATCAAGAGTCAGACACTTACCCAACTGAGCCTCCCAGGTGACCGTATACTTGCAATATTTCTTTCTTTTTTTTTTTTTTTAGTTTATTTACTTATTTGAGAGAGAGAACAAGCAGTGGGGAGAGGCAGAGGGAGAGAGAGAGATAGAGAGAAGCATACTCCCTGCTGATCAGGACCCCGAGACAGGGCTCGATCCCAGGATGTGGAGATCATGACCTGAGCTGAAGGCAGACGCTTCACCGACTGAGCCACCCAGGCACCCCTTACTTGCAATATTTCTCAAGAAGAATGGTAAAAGTAATAAAAAAGAACAAATTGGCAAGAATTAAAATGTTTCAAATGGAGTACAAATCTGAAGGCAAATTCCTGCCAAACAGTTCAAGATGTCTCTTCAAGGAAGCCTTCCCTAATCAGCCCAATGGAAATCTTGATCAAACCACCATCCCTCTTCACCGCAGTCCTACCAAACTTTCAACTACACTGTTATAATATTTGTGGAAATGTCTCTAGGTAATACCTTTCCCTGGTTAACTCAATGCTATGTGCTTACTAACTTAGGCCCAGATTTCTGAACCAAACACTAACAAAGGGGATGGAATGATAAAAACTGAGACTAATCAGGGTCTAACCCTGAAGTTAGGAAGAATCCCTCAGGCCTAGTTGGCAGGAGTGGAGTGGCTGCTGAAGCAGCAGCCACAATGGTGATTATGTGATTTACAGATGAGGAAACAGACACAGAAAAGCAAGTAACTTTCTTAGATCATTAATTGGCAGAGTGGAGACTCAAACTCAAATTCTAAGACTTAAGGCCATGCTTGTGGTCATTTAAACTATACTTCCTGAAAGAAATAATACAAGAACCATTTTAGAAATCCAAAGGATTTGACTCAAGAATAAGTCCTTGATCCAGTTCAAGTGTAGGAGACATAAGGGTAAGTTTGTTAAAGACAAAGTTTTCGGGGCGCCTGGATGGCTCAGTCGTTAATCGGCTCAGGTCATGATCCCAGGGTCCTGGGATCGAGCCCCGCATCGGGCTCCCTGCTCCGTGGGAAGCCTGCTTCTCCCTCTCCCACTCCCCCTGCTTGTGTTCCTGCTCTTGCTGTGTCTCTGTCAAATAAATAAATAAAATCTTTGAAAAAATAAAATAAATAAAATAAAGACAAAGTTTTCTTGCTCTTAAAAGAAAGTCATAGGAAAAGACTGCTGTTCCTTCCTCCGCATGTTGGATATGCACCTGAGGTTCAAAACTGTGCAGCCATTTTGCTATTAGCCTGAACTAAAGTACCTGACAGAAGTTAGCAAAAAAATGGAGCTAGAGCTCTGAATGAAACCAACCCTGAAGCCCCTACTACCTTTGGAATTCCAGTTAATTACAATGTTCTTATTTAAGGTAGTTTAAGTTGGGTTTCTTTTACTTCTAGTCAAAAGCATCTTTATAGAACCTATTCTCACAACACTGTTGTAAGGACTAGATTATTCCTTTAAAACCTTTACTTAAGGGACGCCTGGGTGGCTTAGTCGGTTGGGCATCTGCCTTCGATTCAGGTCATGATCCCAGGGTCCTGGGATCGAGTCCTGCATCGGGCTCCTTGCTAGACAAAGGAGCCTGCTTCTCCCTCTGCCTGCCGCTCCCCCTGCTTGTGCTCTCTCGCTCTCTCTGACAAATAAATAAATCTTAAAAAAAAAAAAACCAAAAAACCCTTACTTAAGGAGGCACCTGGGTGGTGCAGTCAGTTAAGCACCCAACTCTTGGTTTCAGCTCAGGTCGTGATCTCAGGGTTGTGAGCTTGAGCCCCACGTCAGGCTCCAAGCTCAGTGTGGACTCTGCTTGAGATTCTTTCTCCCTCTCCCTCTGCCCCTCCTGCTCATGTTTTCTCTCTCTCAAATAAATAAATCTTTAAAAAAATAAAATAAAACCCTTACTTAAGGACACTGCTTAGACCATATGTTGACAATTAAGTTAACCATCATAACTATTTATTTATTTTTTAAGATTTTACTTATTTATTTGAGAGAGAGAGAGAGTGCACAGCGGGGCGAAGAGTAGAGGGAGAGGGAGAAGCAGACTTCCCACTGATCAGGGAGCCCGATGCGGGACTCGATCCCAGCACTCCGGGATAATGACCTGAGCCAAAGGCAGACACTTAACCGACTGAGCCACCAGGTGCCCCGGCCATCATAACTATTATTTTAGGTCTTCTGGAACTTGCACGGTCCAATACAGTAGCCACTAGCAAAGGCAGCTGAGTAGTTGAACTGTGACTAGTCCAAATCTATACGTAGTATTAAGTACAAAATACACAAAAGGTTTTGAAGACCCAGTAAGAAAAAATAATGTAAAACCTTTAGATGTTTATACTTTATATGCTCTTCTGTAAACATTACCCCCCTCTTTTCCCATTAGGTTCTTCACAATTAGCCCTTCATGCTCTCCTCATCTACACTCATTATTTGTGTCCCCCAAAATTCATATGCTGAAGCCCTAATCCCTGATGTGACAATATGTGGAGGTAAGGGCCTTTGGGAGGTAACTGGGTTATAAGGGTGAAGCCCCTATGAAAGAGATTAGCATCCTTATAAAGAAGAAACATGAGAGAAATAATCTTTCTCTCCCATGTGAGGACATAACGAATAGGCAGCTGTCTGCAAGCCAGGAAGCAGGCCATCATCCAACAGCAGATCTGCCTGTGCCTCAATCTTGTACTTTCCAGATCCAGAACTGTGAGAAATAAATGTTTTTTGTTTAAGCCAACCAGTTTATGGTATTTTTGTTATAGCAGCCCCAATGGAATAAGATATCCATAATCTATCACCCTTTTTCCATCCTTTAAGCTCAAAGCTTCAGGGAAATGAAAAAAATCTTTCATAATTAAATGCTTAAGAATCACTATCAAAAACTAACTCAGGGCGCCTGGGTGGCTCAGTTGGTTAAGCGACTGCCTTCGGCTCAGGTCATGATCCTGGAGTCCCGGGATCGAGTCCCATATTGGGCTCCTTGCTCAGCAGGGGGTCTGCTTCTCCCTCTGACCCTCCCCCCTCTCATGTGCTTGCTCTCTCTCATCCTCTCTCTCTCAAATAAATTAAAAAAAAAAAAACAAACTAACTCAATAAAAAATTCACAAGCTAGCAAGATATAAAATAAGCAAAACTCAATTACATCCACATAAAGAAATAATAACCAGTTAGTAGTTTTAACAGGTGAGAAGACAAAAATGATGTAGAAAAATTGGCAAAAGACATGGACAATTCACCCCGCAAAAATTATAAAAATATCCCTTAATTATATGAAAATATAATTTTCCTCATAATAAGAAAAATAGCAAGTAAATCTGCACAGATACAACTTCCAGCTTCTAGTAATGCTGGAGTAAAACACTGGTGGAAGACATCTTCCAACAGAATAGAATTTTAAAACCTGGAAATTAGGGCGCCTGGGTGGCTCAGTTGGTTAAGCGACTGCCTTCGGCTCAGATCATGATCCTGGAGTCCCAGGGTCGAGTCCCGCATCGGGCTCCCTGCTCGGCAGGGAGTCTGCTTCTCCCTCTGACCCTCCTCCCTCTCATGCTCTCTGTCTCTCATTCTCTCTCTCTCAAATAAATAAATAAAATCTTTAATAAAAAAATAAATAAAAAATAAAAAATAAAAACTGGAAATTATATAATAAGCAACCACCAAAGGAACTGGAGAGTGAACATAATCAGACAAACTGCTCCTCCTAGTTTTAAGCCTGGAGCTAACATAATCTAACACCCTTGGAGGAAACTGACCCAGACTTAGGGTCACTTGATATTCTAAAAGGTTCACAGACAATTTACTGGGGAAAAGATGCTCGTTACAATACATGGGGGTAGAATAAGGGAATATTTGTATGAGGAAAAAAAAAAATCAATCTCAACTCCTACCTCATGTCATACTCAAAAACTAACTGAATGGATTACAGATCTAAACACAAGAACTAAAACAAATTTTGGAAGAAACTTTTGTGACCTTGGGTTAAACAAAGTTACCAAACTGCATACCGGGCGCCTGGGTGGCTCAGCTGGTTGAGTGACTGCCTTCAGCTAGGGTCATGAACCTGGAGTCCTGGGATCGAGTCCCACATAGGGCTCCTGGCTCAGCTGGGAGCCTGCTTCTCCCTCTGACCCTCTCCCCTCTCATGCTGTTTCTCTCTCTCTCAAATAAATAAATAAATAAATAAAATCATTAAAAAATTTTTTTCTTTAAAAAAAACTGTATATCTAAAATTAGTAAATTTTCCTATACTGAAATTTACTACAGATAAATTCTACCTCAACAAAGTATTTTTTTAAAAGAAAAACTATGCCAATACCATTTCTCACCCATCAGATTAGCAAAAATTTAAAAGCCTGACAGTACTCTGTTGGCAAGGGTGTTTGGAAACAGGCATTCTCATTGAAAATGCAAAATGGTACCCCTATAAAGGAGAATTTGGCAGTTCTAACAAATCTACATGTCATTTACCTGAAACTTGGCAATCTCACGTCTAGAAATTTACCCTGAAGATCTATATGCACAGTATTGCAGTATTATTTGTAATTAGAAAATACTGGAAACTATCTTACTATCTTACCCTCTCTTGAATAATATGGACTGATTTCCAGGGGATATTACCAAGTAAAAAAAGCAAAGTTCAAAAGAATATATAGTATGCAATATTCAATAAACAAGAGTAGTTATATATCTATTGATCTTTACAAAAAACACCAAAGGAAGGATAAACTACACAGTGATAAAATTAGTTATCTACAGTGTGGTGGACACAGGGTGGATAAGGTACAGGAGGGAGTATCCACTCTGAGAATAACTTTTTATGTTATTTTTACTTTGGGGTGCATGTTAATATTCTACACATTTAAAAAATATACAACTAAATTAATAAAAATGGGAAGGGAAAATGAAAAAAAATCTATCACATAAGAGCACAAATTATATATAAATAAAGCTAGTAACTACTGTGAACAAATGTAAAAAACAGGGGCGCCTGGGTGGCTCAGTCGTTTCACGTCTGCCTTCAGCTCAGGTCATGATCCCAGGGTCCTGGGATCGAGCCCCACATCGGGCTCCCTGCTCAGCGGGAAGCCTGCTTCTCCCTCTCCCACTCCCCTTGCTTGTGTTCCTGCTCTCGCTATCTCTCTCTGTGTCAAATAAATAAAATCTTAAAAAAAAAAAAAGAAAGAAAGAAAAAGAAAAAAAAATGTAAAAACCAGAGCCTTTGTAAAGTACATTAAAATTTATATTTCGGGCGCCTGGGTGGCTCAGTTGGTTAAACCACTGCCTTCGGCTCAGGTCATGATCCTGGAGTCCCGGGATCGAGTCCTACATCGGGCTCCCTGCTCGGCGGGGAGTCTGCTTCTCCCTCTGACCCTCCCCCTTCTCATGCTCTCTCTATCTCATTCTCTCTCTCAAATAAATAAATAAAATCTTTAAAAAAAATTTATATTTCAATATATATTATTTATACAGGCATATATGGGGCACCTGGGTGCTCAGTCAGTTAAACGATTTTGGCTCAGGTCATGATCTAAGGGTTATGGGATCAAGCCCCTCATGGGGCACCGCACTGAGTGCTGAGCATGGAGCCTGCTTAAGAGTCTCTCTCTCTCTTTCCCTCTGCCCCTTCCCCCACCATGGTACATGCATACACCCTGTCTCTAAAAATGAATAAAATATTTTTTTAAACAAACACAAAACTGTATGTAAAATCTGAAACTGAAAACACAAGAGAATTCTTCCAAAAAAGAATAACTACTTAGTACCTACCTTGCTTATCTCCTCCTCATACTCTCTTCTCAATTCCCCGGGTCTACTTAATAAGCGAACTGGCTGACAGTCATCAACTGTTTCAGATCAAGAAAGAAAATAATATTATAGGCAACACAGAATTTTATGGCTAGCTTTGGTTTTTCATTAAACCTGTATTAATATGAAAACGTGAAATTAGAATAAATGTACAATTATTAATAGCTATAGCAATACCTTCTCTGTGGAGTGCCATTTTATTTTTTTCTAAAGATTTTATTTTTAAAATAATTTTAAGTAACTCTACACCCAACATATAGTTCAAACTTACAACCCCGAGATCAAGAGTCGCACGTTCTACTGACTGTGCCAGCCATGAGCCCCTATGAAATTCCACTTTATTTTATTTTTTAAAGATTTATTTATTCGAGACAGCGAGCATGCACACAAGTGGGGGAGGGGCAGAGGGAGAAGATGACTCTCCCCTGAGCAGGGAGCCCAACAAGGGGCTCAATCCCAGGACCCTGGGATCATGACCTGAGCTGAAGGCAGACACTTAACCAACTGAGCCACCCAGGCACTCCTGGAATTTCATTTTAAAAGAAAGTCCAGGGGTGCCTGGCTGACTCAGTCAGTGGAGTGTGTAACTCTTGATGTTGGGGTCGTGAGTTTTTTTTTCTTAAGATTTTATTTATCTATTCATGAGAGAGAGAGATGCAGAGGGAGAAACAGGCTCCCTGCTCCGCAGGACCCTGCCCCAGGACCTTGGGATTATGACCTGAGCTGAAGCCAGTCACTCAACCAACTGAGCCACCCAGGAGCCTTGGAGTCATGAGTTTGAGCCCCATGTTGGGTGTAGAGATTATAAACTTAAAAAAAAAAAAAAGAAAAAGAAAAAGAAAGTCCAGAGGTTTTCTGGTTCAGAATGGCACATGAATACATATACTTAACTCTTGTTCTAGAATCTATTAAAATAACAGTATTAAAGGCATTTTTAAAAAGTAATCTTACAACAGCAAAGAGATTAGGGAAGGGTCAATCAGTTAACAGGAAACTTTAACAAATTTCTAGAAAATGGGATGGTGATGTAAAAGAGACAACTTATACATCAGAATGAAGAAAAATGCAACCTTTGGAAAGGAAAGTGAGTTAGGAGATCTGCCCCGTATACTGGAAGAGCAGCTCAGACTCAAAAACACAAGGCACAATAGAGACCACAGTGAGTAAGTGTGGGACAGGGAATTAAAAGTTCACCATCTGTTAAATCAGAATACTTGGCTGGTAGGCATTTCTTCCTACATGTGTGTGTAAGTGCATATATGCACACTCAAAAGTTATTTTTATTTATTTATTTTTTTAAAGATTTTATTTATTTATTTATTGGAGAGTGAGCGAGAGAGAAACAGCACGAGAGAGGAGAGGGTCAGAGGGAGAAGCAGGCTCCCCGCTGAGCCGGGAACCCGATGTTGGACTCGATCCCAGGACCCTGGGATCATGACCTGAGCCGAAGGCAGTCGCTTAACCAACTGAGCCACCCAGGTGCCCCTCAAAAGTTATTTTAAAAATTTTATTTATGTATTTATTTGAGAGAGAGCATGAGAACTTGCGTGAGCAGGGGACGGGGAAAGGGAGAGAAGCAGATTCCCCGTTGGGAGTGGAGCCTGACCAGGGGCTGAACCCCACAACCCTGAGATCATGACCTGAGCAGAAATCAAGAATCAGATGTTTAACCCACTGAGCCACCCAGGAGCCCCTCAAAAGTTATTTTTTAAAGAAACTGAATTGTCTGGACAGGGCCAGAGAGCTAATATGAGAGGTGGTGACACAGAACAAAGCCCTCTAAAATGTGGCACGTACGGTGGCGAAGCGTAACAGCCAAGCATAACCTCAAACAATGTCTGCCAGTCACCACTGCCAATATACGTACAAGGAGCGTTATTCTAGGCCCTCATTTTTATTTATTTTTTTGAAGGGCCTCATTTTTAAATGTGAAAGTAAAACCAAGGATCATCGGACATTTCAAACGAATCTACAGGATTAAAGAAACACTAAGTCACAATGAGGGGAAAAAAATCATCTCGAGTTAAATCTAGAAAAAGAGAACACAACTGCTCTTTTACAGGGGCAGCTACTACTCAACTCCAGCTGACTACTGCCCCGGGGAAACTTGGGTCGTCCTTGCCATATTTTCTGATTTTTTCAAAACAATCCGGAAATCCGTATTTTATTTTATTTTTTTAAGATTTTATTTATTTATTTGACAGAGAGACACAGCGAGAGAGGAAGCAGGGGGAGTGGGAGAGGGAGAAGCAGGCTTCCCGCAGAGCAGGGAGCCCAATGTGGGACTCGATCCCAGGACCCTGGGATCATGACCTGAGCTGAAGGCAGACGCTTAACGGCTGAGCCACCCAGGCGCCCCCTGTAGTTTTCTTTTCAACAGAAGTTTTGATTGTTGTTGTTTTTATGGTGGTAAAATGCATATAACAGAAAATTTACCACTCAAATCTCTTTTTTAAAGATTTTATTTATTCATTTATTTATTTATTTATTTTAGAGAGAAAGCGAGTTGGGAGAGAAGCAGAGGGAGTGGGAGAGAGCTCTCAAGCTGACTCTCCACTGAGCGTGGAGCCCCAGGCAGGGTTCAGCCTCATGACTCTGAGATCATGACCTGAGCCGAAATCAAGAGTCCGGCCAAGTTTGGCCTTCATATTTTTTTGTAAAGGAAGTGTTATTGGAACAGAGGCACTCATCTATATCAATGGCTGGTTTTGTGCTTACAATGGCAGGAGTTGAGTCACTGCAACAAAGACTACATTCATTGCCCACAGAGCATAAAATATTTATTATCTTGCCCTTTATGGGAAAAATTTGCCACCCCCTGAGCTGTCACATCTGGTATTACACTACCTCTCTACACATACCCTATCCTCCTTTTTTCAAAGTGCTATCATTGAAGTGCTGCTGTCCCTCCTGTCTTCCTGGGCTTCGTTTCTAGCCCCTACTATTTTTTTCAGGAGACATATATTTCTCACTCCTGTATTTCCCACTGTATTGCCTCAAATGAATCCTTCTCAACAGCTTAAATAAGAATTTGACATACTTCATTGCTACCTGTTACGGAGTTACATTACTGTTTTTAGTTCTTCTACGAATTTGCAAACTGCTGGTCTGCAAGCCATGTAAAGCCTGCAGACATGTGTTATGTGCCCATTCAGTGCCAGCATTTAAAATTGGGAGATTTCTCTCTCTGTCAAATAAATAAAATCTTAAAAAAAAAAAGGGGGGGGGGCGCCTGGGTGGCTCAGTCGTTAAGCGTCTGCCTTCGGCTCAGGTCATGGTCCCAGGGTCCTGGGATTGAGCCCCGCATCGGGCTCCCTGCTCCCCGGGAAGCCTGCTTCTCCCTCTCCCACTCCCCCTGCTTGTGTTCCCTCTCTCGCTGTATCTCTCTCTGTCAAATAAATAAAATCTTTAAAAAAAAAAAAAAAAGAGGGGCGCCTGGGTGGCTCAGTTGGTTAGGCAACTGCCTTCGGCTCAGGTCATGATCCTGGAGTCCCTGGATCGAGTCCCGCATCGGGCTCCCTGCTCGGCAGGGAGCCTGCTTCTCCCTCTGACCCTCCTCCCTCTCATGCTCTCTGTCTCTCATTCTCTCTCTCTCAAATAAATAAATAAAATCTTTAAAAAAAAAAAAAAAGAAAAAAAAAAAAGAAAAAGAAAACTACAGGAGGATGGTTTGTTTCCTTCCCTTAGAGAGTAGCATGCTCTTTGTGGTCATTTTGTAGAACAAAAGCCACCTTGGATAATCACCCATTGTTAATGTTTTGGGTGGCAACACTGGATTTTTACTTAAAGATTTAAAATGGCTTTGGAATAAACATTAAAAAAGAAAAGAAAAAAGAAAACCACAGGGCTATAATGGAGACAGTTAAGGTTCCATAACAGTAAACCAAGATTTAATATCTAACCTAACTTCAGCTTCATCCCCCTCAAATGTAACCTTTAACCACCCAAACTGGAATTTCCTGTAGGCAATACCCTGAGAGGCCCCTTCCCCTTAGGAGGGCGACCTTGCCTAAACACTGCATTCCTTGCTAATAAATTATTATTTGTTTTTATGCTTTAAATGTTTTAAAATATTTATGTGTTTTTAATTTATTTTAAATATTTATCTGTTTTTATTTAAGAGTGAGAGTGGGTGGGTGTGGGGGGAGAGGTTCAGAGGGAATCTCAAGCAGAATCTCAAGCCAACTCAACGCTGAGTGCCAAGCCTGATGTGGGGCTCGATCCCACAACCCTAAGATTGTGACCAGATTCGAAATCATGAGCCAGACTCTAACCAACTGAGCCACCCAGGCACCCCATTATTTTTTAAATGGCTCTTCTCTGCCTTTCCTTCCCTGCAGCTCAGAGGAGCCCTCTACTGCTTGCTGGGTGAGATGCTGCCCAAGTCATGAATCGTTCAATGAAGTCAATTACATCTTCAAATTTACTTGGTTAAATTTTGTTTTTTATTTTTTATTTTTTTTTTTTTACAGATTTTTTCCCCAGTTTCTTTTTATTATTTATTTATTTGTTAGAGAGAAGGAGAGGCAGGCAGAGGGAGAAGCAGGCTCCCCGCTGAGCAGGGAGCCTGATGTGGGACTAGATCCCAGGACCCTGGGATCATGACCTGAGCCGAAGGCAGACGCTTCACCGACTGAGCCACCCAGGCATCCCTAAATTTTGTTTTTTAATACTTCTATATGATATCAAACATTACAAAATTAAAAACAAACAACAAACTGGGAGGAGTTATTTGCAAATACATAAATCAATAGAGAATTAAATTAAATTTTCCCACTGTACTTAATATTGCTGTCTTACAGTGAGTGTTCTTCCTGAGCAGCCAAGATTCACTAAAGGAATTTTATCCTCGGGCGCCTGGGTGGCTCAGTCGTTAAGCGTCTGCCTTCGGCTCAGGTCATGATCCCAGGGTCCTGGGATCGAGTCCCACATTGGGCTCCCTGCTCGGCAGGAAGCCTGCTTCTCCCTCTCCCACTCCCCCTGCTTGTGTTCCTGCTCTCGCGCTCTCTCTCTGTCAAATAAATAAATAAAATCTTTA